GAGGCAAGAGTGGAGGGAGCTGAGGTGGATGGGAGCCAACCAGTTCCAGAAATGGAGATTCATCCAGTTCCCTCTGACGATGAAGAGCCTCCTCTGCCAGACGAGCAGCAGCCAAGACAGCCACCTCTTCCAGCTGAAGAAGAGCCAGTGGAACTACCTCCTCCAGCAGAGAATTAATTTTGTTTGTTTTTTGATTTTTTTTTTTTTTATAAAGACATGTAATTAGTTTGTAGTACTTATATTTTCTTAATGAAAGTTCATTTTTGAAATAATGTGTTTACTTGCATTCATCTTTTTGTTATTATAAATTGATAGGAGAGCTGAGACTACCTTAAAGAAGTTAACCACTTCGGAAACAAACTCCAAGGAAGTAAACCACTTCAAGTGAATTAATAACAAGTATATCACTGTAAATGAACTGAGGGGAGATAAAGCACTTCAAATGTGAAGTGACATTTATTAACAGAAGTGAGGTTCAAGGAATGAATGGATTAATTGACCTCGGATACATAGAATAAGAGGTAAAATGAATTTCTACAAACATGAAGTGAGAAACGTAAAGAACAGTAAGACATAGATCACTTGAAAGAATTTTATTAGGGGTAAAATTTCTTCAAGTTATTCACATTCCAGACTCTAGGAACTCTCTTTCCTTCAGCGTCTTGGAGGATATAGGCACCAGGATGTGGCACTTCGACCACGGCATAAGGACCTTCCCAATTTGGGGCAAGTTTGCCAAAACGAGTTTCAAACCCGTTAGGCCAGCTTTTCTGAGAACAAGGTCTCCTACTTTGAATGTTCGAGGGCGGACCCATTTATTGTAGAAGTTGGCTAATTTCTGCTTGTATACAAGAGTTCGAAGCCGAGCTTCTTCTCTGACTTCAGCAAGCAGATCAAGGTTTTCCCGAAGCAGTTGTCCATTTCGTCCTTCATCGAAATGGGTGACCCGGAAGCTTGGGATTCCTATCTCAACAGGAATGACTGCTTCGGTACCAAAGGCCAGGTGGTAGGGTGTTTCACCTATTTCAATTGATTAGAACTTTAGAATGCGCTTTATGCGTTATGCATTTTTGTTCTAAGGTAAGGCGTAACAGAAGAAGTGAAATAATATAGAAATTAATCAAATAAACTCGGTTTAAAGCAGTACCTGTGGCAGTTCGGCTCGTGGTTCTGTATGCCCAGAGGACGTTGTTGAGCTCGTCTGCCCACTTGGCCTTATGCTGCTCCAATCTCGGCCTTATACCTTCCAGAATGCATTTGTTAACAGATTCAACCATGCCGTTGGATTCTGGATGATAAACGGAGGTGAA